CCGAAACTATTGAAATCCCGACGTTCGAAATCCCGACTATATCAAAATCCCGACTACCATAAAAATGTTATTGCAGAAATTTATAATAATAAAAGACACAGTCGGGATTTCAATATAGTCGGGATTTCGATACACTCAGGATTTCAAACGTTGGGATTTCGAACATCGGGATTTCAGTTGTCGGGCTTGCGATTGCCACCGATATAGTACGGTAGTACGATTCCTGTTCACGTATATATTTATATGAAATATGCATCGAATAATTTTGTTAACGGGATCATCAAAGAGTTGGCAACACTGTAAAGCGGATTGTCATTTCATCGGTTGGTTGTGAGTCAACAATTAGATATGTCAAGATGAAGGGGGTTTCTGTATTTTTTTTCGTCAAAGTAATTGCGTTAAATGTTCTCTGAACTGATAAATCGATTACTTATCATAATTACAAAAGATCTGTAAATCATTTGTGTTTAAATGTAAGTGAATAAATTGGATATTTCCGCTAAACCGTTCATTTTGACAGCTTTGTTGTTTCTAGGTAAACAAATTATTTTAAAGAACATTAAATAATGGAAGCTGTGCCTAGACTACCGATGATCAGCTTTGATCTGCTCACCTCTGAGAAAGTCTCGTTTGGACCATGCTTGAAACCGGTTAGATTGAATAGAAAAGAAATAAATAAGAGTAAACTATATTGAATTTATTGAATTGCAGTATATATCGAGCTTTTATCAAGAGGACCCAGAAAGTTATAATAATGAAATATATAATTTGGAAACCTTACGAGTGAGTGCTGTGTGGCCTTCTGTTGACATTATAAATTGTCAAGTTCTTAAAAAGTATTACTGCCAATTGCATTTCTTGAAGTCACGATTCCCTATGGAAGAGAACCAAGTTGCTGCCGCTTATTTTTCATGGTATAGTTTAAAATCTTTTAAAGAAACTTTGTTATATTTACTAAATAATATTTTAGGAAGGATGATTATACCAAAATGGCTTCAAGTGTTCAAGATATAAATTTTGAATTGATGAGTATTTTGATAAATATAGGATCATTGCATTCAAAGTTAGGAGCTGAGGATAGTAGGAATACTCCTGAGGGAATGAAGATGGCCTGCACTCATTTTCAATGTGCAGCTTGGGCTTTCCAAACAGTCCGAGACAATTACTCCAGACTGATACATTTAATAATGTCTTCTAGTGATCAGATTAAAGGTATGCAAATCATTTGCTTAGCCCAAGCACAGGAATGCATTTTAGAAAAAAGTTTATTGGATAATAGAAAGGCAACCATCATTGCTAAAATTGCTGTACAGTTGGCTGAATATTACAATAGGGCATTGCAGTTGTTCTTTCAGCACAGAGGCTTTGATGGAATTGTTGTTGATAATTTTCCAAATAACAAGTACATAACTCAATATCTCCAATTCAAAATATTATATCACAGAAGTATTGCACTGTTGTATCAAGGGCAGCAAGCAGAGGAACAACAGAAAATGGGCGAAAGAGTAGCGTTCTATCAGGCTGCTTTAGAGACACTAGAAGAAGCCAGAAAAGTGGCTGAAAAAATTTCAAGTTCATACCAAGGTCCATTCAAAGAAACCTTAGCGTTCACACATGATGTAATTGAAGGGAAGCGTAAAGCAGCCACCAACGAGAATGAATTTATTTACCATGAGGAAGTGCCAAAATTGGACACTTTACAAGAGATTAAAGGGGCTTCTTTAGTAAAAGGAATTCCATTCAATATTCACGATATAGAAGTATCCGGACCTGATATCTTTGGCAGGTTGGTTCCCATGGAAGCTCATGAAGCTTCATCTTTGTACAGTGAGCAAAAGGCTCAGTTTTTACGCCTCATCGGTGAAAATATTGACAAAAAAGATCAAGAATTAAATGAGTTCATGGCCTCTATGCAATTAGATGTGTTGCATCATATGAAAAATGCTTCTGGTTTGTCTCAAGAATTGGTGGATAGAGCAGCGTCTATGGTTGGGAGACCAAACGCTACTAAAGAGTTGATAGAAGCTATGGGAAAACTTTCAAATACCTATCAAGAGGTTGAAGCAATGTTGAGCGATATCAGTGAATATTTGAAAGAAGAGGATCAGGCTGAAAAAGATTATCAAAATCTAATGGGAAAGAGACCCCCAAGTATAATAGCAACTGACTTATCCAGAGAGTTTTCTAAATATCAAGAAGCTCATAATAAAGCATCCGAATCCAACCAAAATTTACACAGGGCGATGATTACGCACGTAGCAAATTTGAAGATTTTGGGGCAACCGTTGAATCAGTTGCGAATGCAGATACCAAGCCTTCAGTTGCCTGATCCAAATGTAGATGAGACAGTTGTGGAGCAATTAGATAATTTATTGTCTAAAGTAGAGGAAATGAAGACTCAACGTGTAAATTTATGGGTTCAGTTAAGAGATTCTGCACACCAGGATGATATCACAAACGCTTTGGTCACACGAGAACCTGACCAAACTTTGGAGAGCGTATTTAAACAAGAACTTGAGAAACATAAAAAATCTGAAAGTATAATAGATCAGAATTTGGTGGCTCAAGACAATATTTGCAAAGCAATAGTTGAGATTTATGCTAAATTCACTCCATCTCGCAAGTATTTGCAAGATATTTTGCAGAAAAGAAGCACCACCATTTCCGCGTTGATAGCTTCTCATGATACTTATGATGATCTTTTAGCGAAAGCCAATAAAGGTATAGAATTTTACAGTAAACTGGAGACAAATGTGGCGAAGTTACTGCAGCGTATTAAAAGTGCATGTAAAGTGCAGCAAGAAGAACGGGAACAAATATTGATTAAGAATGGACACGTTAAAAAGATTAGCGAACATAACGTAGTCCAAAGTAATAAACCGAAGCTGAAGGATTATTTAGATTCGATGAAAGAGAAGAAAATTGAATCGGAGCAGGAATATATTCCACCGCAATTAGGATACTCTCAGCAATATGCTAATTCTGTAAGTACGAGCACTTACGGAAGTCATGGTTATACCCAGGTCAACTATTCCGATAAGAATATTGATAATTGCTTGGTGGATCGGATGAATTCCTTAAAAGTTGCAAACAATAGCAATTATCAGTATAACTATACAAACTCGCAAGCTTATAATTATCCAGTTACAAACCCAGTGTATACAGTTGAGACTTGCGATGTACCACCAACTTCGGTTAATCCGCACTCGAATTATTCGAAACCTGCGTCATCCTATCAAACTGTATCAAGTACTAATTACCCGTATGTGGCAGCTTCGGAACAATCGCAGAAGGTTAATGGAGTTTTACCGTTTACTTATTCTACTGCCCCGAGTGGAGTTGGAAATACAATGAGTTATTCAAGCAACTATTATAATTACAATCAACAGTTTCCCACGACATCTACATATTCTCAAAATGCACAACAACCTACAAGCCAATTTTACAACTATCAAAATGACGGAAAGAACTACCAATACTATGATGCATCGCAGAGTACTTCTTATGCTGCAAATCCTAATACTTCTAATGCGTATCAATACCAACAGCCGAACCAACAAAATTCTCAAATAACTAATACACCCAACCAATATAATCAAGAGAATCCATCAGGTGTGTATCAATACCAACAAGCAAATACTGCTTCGCAACCGAATAATGCTGCAACAAGTTATAAGCAAGAACCTGCTGGTACTGCATATTCATACCAACAACCAAGTACTACAACTCCGCAAATGAACAACACTCCGGCTTCATACAAACATGATGCTGCGAATGTGTACTCTTATCAACAACCAATCACAACACAAGCCACTAATTATAAACCTGACATCCAGACTATGTATCATCAACCTAGCACGTCAACCCCGCAGATCAATAACACAGCTACGTTATATAAGCAAGACAATTCATCAAGTGCATATGCTTATCAACAACCAATTACTTCAACTCCGCAAGTCGGCAGTTCAGCAAATCAGTACAGCCAAGAAACCCCTTCCAATGTTTATCCGTATCAGCAAGCTAACATTTCAACGCCACAAATCGACAATACCAATCAGGAAAATAGTCAGTATTCCCAATATTCGCAAAATCCCTACAACTATCAAAATGCGGTCACTCCAAATGCATATGGACAAGCAAATAATGCCAGTCCGAAAAACTATCCAAATCAATACAATTATGCATCTGGTAATCAATATCCCCAAACTACGACCCCCTACAATTATTCACAGACTTATCCAAATGCATACAATCAGTATCCTCAGCAATCAAACACCCCGGATCCAAATCAGCCAAGTTACGGTGCTTACAACAATTATTACAATCAACAAACCTATCAACCTGCTGCTGCCGCTGCCCAAAGTCAGCCACAAGCGGTTGCGCAAAATGCAACTAATACATCTAAAAAAGAGAGCAGCATTGATTTATTGGCTGGATTGGATTTCTCAATAAGCCAAGCGCCTTTGATTCCACAAAAGGAAGCCGCTAAACCAGAACCACCTAAAGCTGAATCTAAGCCGGAAACTGTACCAGCAAAGAAATCGGACGAAAAGAAAGCTGATGCTTCGACATCCGCGCAAGTGAAAAATAAAGAAAAAAATATAAAAAGAGGAGAGCCATTCAGAAATTCCGAAATTATCCGACATTTCATACAGGAAGTTGATAAATTCGAGAAATACGTGGAGGGATTGAACGTTAAAACTTTGTCAGGTCCAAGCACGTTGGAACTAAAATGGAAGGAGATTCAGGACTGCCAGGAAAATGTGGATTTAAACAAAAGGAGTATATCTGTTGCTAGATGTTATCCATTGAAGAACCGAAGCCCCGACATTTTACCGTACGATTTTAGCAGAGTGATTTTGACTTCGTCCAAAGATGATTACATTAATGCTTCTCATATAAAAGATGTAAATCCATATAGTATGGATTTTATCGTTACCCAAGCACCAACGACCCTGACACTAGCAGAATTTTGGACCATGATTTGGGAACAGCAAGTGGAAACTGTAGTCTGTCTTTTATCAAATAACGAAGTAAGTGATAATTTAATCTTTAACTAGACACATTGTTAATTGCTTACTTTTAGCTAAAAGATGATGTATATTGGCCAAAGGAAATTGGAAAGGAACTGCCTGTCTCATCAAAGTTCATAACTATGTTGAGTTGTACTGAAAAGGAATTTTGGACTGAACGCAAATTAAATATAATGTTGCCGGATCAAAAGGAAAACCGAATCGTAACTTTGCTTCAATTTACTGCTTGGCCTGGAAGGTACGCAGTGAACGATTTATTAAAATATAAAAGATTATCATTAAAATCTGATTTCAGTTTGTTCCTAACAAATCCGTTGCCGTTCGTCAACTACTTGAAAGAGATTATAACGGTGTTCGATCAGCAGAAATGCAATGGAAATCCTGTTCTGGTTCATTGCATGTCCGGCGTCGGACGCAGCGGAATTGCATGCGTCCTTTTGACTGTTTTGATGGAACTGGCGGCAACAGCTTGTCCATTACCCGACATTCCCAGTGTAGCTTGTAAGATGTCTTGCGCAAGGAAGAATATCTTAAGAGACAGAGAGCATTTGAAGTTTGTGTATACCGCACTTCTGAGCTACATTCAAGCATTGAAACGCGGTATGTCCTTTGTTATTTTCCCAGCAACTCTCATAAATAACAATATTAATTATTTTTGTCGGCAGATTATACAAAGAGTGATAACGAGAAGGCTGATGAGGTGATGCAGATGCCTAAAACTGTCGTCGATCCTTTCAGCACCCTGGATCCGCTTTGGGCTACGAAGAAAATGTGAGTTTTACTATCCTAGATTATAAAAATTTTGTAATTATTTCCTTATAAATATTATATACTCAACAAGAAAAAAAATAATAAGTGCTTTATATTTGAATTATAATTCCATAATATGTAAATGTATTTTATTATCAGATATATTAGATTAAAGACGATTTTTTTTAGTAATATATTTATATATTTATCGATTATTGAGTTACTGTTGATTTATGTTGATTAGTCAATAAAATATATTGTAATATCGAATCCCTCTTCCTCTGTGTTTTATTTGAGATTACATGAAAATATCTGTTGAATGTTAGCGGAGAAGTGCTTATTACGTGAAACTACGCGAAGAGTCATAGTTTCAGGCGCTTAAACTAAAACTCGTGCATGCCGCGAGATGCTGGGTATCGAATAACTGTGGGCATAAATCAGTAATAATTGACCTTCGAGAGGATTGCTATTATGAAACCTACAAAGCCCAAGAAATATGTACATATGTTTCATTCGCTACGAAATACATGCAAGACAATGATATTAATTAACTTTAACTTAAATGATCGTCTATTTATAGACTTTATTTTATTTATACGCAAATCTAATTAATTACTAATTGGTAATAATCGTTTATTACGTAATATAGATAGAAATGGAAATACATTTGTATTACGATTTCATCATCTGCTTTACATATGTTATTATTATTTCAGTTTATTAAAATGAAACTATATTATTTTTTTAACCATTCCACTAAAATAGAAGAAAGTATGAATTTATAAAGTTGCACGAAATTGTTTAGTGACAAACAGACAATTTACGAAGTTATGAGTTAAACTAATACATGCAAATTAACAGCACGATGAAAATTACTATCATCATTGAAAGAATGCGTTTTTTTGTTTGTTTGGTTACGTTGAGCAAATTATATTTTATATCGATCAAATCAAATATCCTGTTATGCAAAAGACTTTGGCATTTGCTCGAAAATAATGATGATACATTAGCAATTGCGAAATGTGGACTAAATGAATTCGCTGGTGCATAAGAGCGAACTCTGAAACTCGCCATTCTCTGCAGACATGCAGTCTGAGCCCAGGTTGAATGCACGGCGAACAACCAGATCCAGTCGAAATGATGTGTCTTTGGTTTCAAAATAACATACACTCCACTCCGTACAAGCGGCTGGATCGATTTGGGTTGAGATCTGAGGCGAGCGAATATTATTTTCCTACAGAGAAAGTGGATTAAGATTTTTGAGTGAGTGCACTTCTTCCAGTCTGACTGGATTTTATAAATAGTTTCGCGGTTCGCTCCAATCGGATTTCCCTGGCCCGATTCGCATTCTACATCGAATATACGGAATTACGAAACCACCTTAAAAATTTACATCAAATGACGAATTCAATCCATTTATGGTGCTTTTCTTTTACCACGAAATAATTACGAAACTGAGGTTTAGAATACAAATAGGAGAATCGCTGAGCTGTCTATTAGTCACTTCATTAATCCCAATAGCTTCAATGCTGTGCGTGGCTTCGTGTATTTTTTTATTTATGCTATAATTATTGGCGCCAGTGACATCATTTTATTGCCCACAATGTCATAACAAAATGCACAAAATATAAATATTATTTATAAAATTTCACTTAAATTATTTACTTTGTAACTTCAATGTTGATATTTACTTGTTGATAAATTTGCCAATTCAAATCATCTTGCCTAATCATCCCGGATTTATCTGGGATAAATCTCTTTTTTATTATTTATAAATCACTTGAAAACAGACATTTCTGTCTACAAACATATCAGATAATTGATATTACGTTCTTATATAATAATTATATGAAATGAAATGAATGTGATATGGAATTTATTTTAAGAAAGTTGAATTTACTTTTCTATAAAATGCATATAAAAATATATCCTAGAGCACTTTGTAGTTGACTAACCATGCAATAATTCCGTTCTCAGGTCGTAAATTTTAAAGTTATTCTATTCATACGACTGATTCGCAATCCATCAGTACTGATGAGTAATTGATGAATTCGCCAACAATTCGATTTTTAGTTGTGCAAATTGGGAGTTTACTGTTTTCCTTCTTTTTTTTTGTCCTCGATATCAACACCACATTCTTTACATCCAGATGCGTTTTAGTATATTTATCGAGTAGTTTCGCATGTATGATTTGAACAATTTAAACATCACTTCACTTTTAGATTATAATAAAGTTTATTGTAACATTCACACAGATTTAAAAACAGATTTGAATTTTATGTAAATTGTAGTATATATTTCTTTAAAACTATAATCCATTAAATTGATTCAAAAGATGTATATGAAAGCTGCATATCTATGGTTTCATCCATTTGGCTGTAAAATTAACGATTGAAAATGCAGTATTTTCATATTTTAATGATTTTCTCGGAAGCAATAATACATTGAATTGTTTGAAAAGATCTATATGAAAGCTGGATGTGTGGGAAATGTAGCGAGTATTCATACATTGCTGTGGTTTCATCCATTTGGATGTAATTAGCGTAATTAATGATTAGTTTTAATTAAATTATTGAAATATAATACAATGTTTATTTATTTAGTTTTGTTTAATATATTGAATATAAATATTAGGCTGGAATTACAAAGAATGGTAATGAGAATCGGAGAACACATTCCAGCAATATTCCTTCTTTTATTAGTCGTAAAGCAACGAAGGAGGAAGTCGCAGGAACATTTCTAACAAACATTCGGCATTCTAATCTAAACAAACAATCACGGTGGCCAGCTTTGACGGCGCGGCACATTCGTGCACTCCATCTATTCGTTTTTCCTTCCAATCAATTAGACCGTTTCAGTTTCCAACAGTTTAATATACAACGTTCTCATTTGAATATCGCTTGAATTACCGCATCTCTTTAAGGTAATAATATTATACAAAATAACTAAATAAGCAGCGTTATAAGTGGCCTCGTTGCGAAAGAAAAATCGAAATCTTGTTAGTCAAAAATCTGTAGTTTTCGAGACTTTCTTTATGACGAAGCGATTTTCTATATTAAGCGGTCCAGCAAGTAGTTGTACGAACATTAATATAGTGACTTCACCATTGAGCAATTTGTGCGCGAGATGCTGTTTTTGTTTCATTGCTGTTTTACCATTTCCACGGTAAACACGTCGATGATACAACGCAGGAAAGGAAAACAAAATTTCTTTATTAGACGCATTGCAAACTTGCATCTACGACTAAAATATTACGCTTATTTATGGTTTCCGAACATCAAATTGCTGTGAGAAATATTTTCATGCAGCTCACTTTTAAATATTTATTATTTCCTTATAACATATGATCTTAGTTAATTATTAATTAACATCATATAAGAAATATAATTAGTTTTCAATCCATTGAAATTATATAAGAAAAAACAGTTAAAGTTAAAACCAAATCGTAACAGCTTTTACTTTATTATCTCATTTGGATTGTTTTGAATCTAATGCATAGAAATCATGATACATACACAAGAATTCCAATTACTTTTTAGATTATCGCCGTAACTGTTGCTTTTGTATTTTAATCAGCTAATAATACCTTTCCAGATTTATTTATCACTTTTGGATGTGCATCTGATCCAGCTGATCAGATCGGAGATAGTATTGGAATACAATATTATATAATGAATAGATATCATTACTTTATTTGTCGACGAGAATATTTTTTGTTTATCGTTAATTTGTATTGTGTATAATGCAATTCGCTGTTGATTTACGTTTTCACTTCATTTATGATATAATTGAAACAGATTTGCTGCAAGCAATTGTTGTTGTTTTTTTTTACACTTTTGATTTCGATCAGTTGCGTAAAGCTATTTCAAATGTACCATGAAATTAATTGAATGAATGGCAAATATTGTGCAATAATTATAAAAATAACTGTTTGGAGCAAATTAAACTTAACTTTTTGAATAGGTATTTTTTCGGATATTTGTCTTGATAGTGTTCAATTGAAGCTACATTAATCTTGTTTGAAGTAAAGAGATATATCGAATTACGTTACCTCGACTTACATCTTTAACTGACGAAAAGTTAACTGAAGGTCTTATGCTGATTGCGGCCAATTTGAACGTTCCAGAAGAAATCGAATCGAATGAAGACCTGGTGATTTTCTTAACAACTAAAACTTACATAATTTTTTTTTTGTATCAAATCTTAAGTCGTTTCGACTATCATAATACTAATGAAAAACATGTAAAATTGTATTTCATTCGATATTTTATATATTGAGTAATAGTCGTGATCATTTATCAGTTATGCATGTAGTAGATATAAATAAGTTGTATATTTCTACTGTTTACGCATGTTTCTTATATTATTAAATCAATATCGATCTTTTTTTTTGTTGATTGTTTTTTATAAGATTTGTTTAAAATCTGAAATAAAGATTGTTTCTCTTAATCCTGTTTCCGTTTAATTGTTTTCAGTTATATTAATACTTTCTTATCAATGCTTACATATTTTAGATAGTATTATTTTTTTTTTGGATATTAAATGCATTGTTTGCTAAAATTGATTGTTGTTTTCAATTTTAGTATTAATCGTGATATTATCATTTTTTTATTAAAAAATGATTTATAGTGGACAATTGGGCCCTAATTTGAATCAAACTAGGCTATAGAACTAAATCTTTCTGCTCTTGTAAAAATTAAATGAAAAAACGTTGCATTCAATATTTTACTATAATATTGATAAACTTTGTACACACCTGGAATAAGTATCAACATATGTCGTTATATACTTAATTTAACTATAATTTACTATAATTGTGTTAATAATCATCCAACTTATGCAGATTTTAAATTATTTTTTTATAGTTTACTAAAAGTTGCTTAGATTGGATCAGTTAAATTAAAGATTTTTAAACAATGATAATAAAACAACTATTACATAATTTTGTATTTGAAGTGAAAAATAGAACTAAGCAAGAAAATTGCAGTGATTGCAAAAAAACACAAATTACTTTTGCTTAAATTATACTAAATAAAACTGAAATTAATTCACTGGTCCATCCTGGGAAACAAGTTGCTTTGTATTTAATTTACACTTTTTTTTAATATTTTCAACTGTATTTTCTATAAATGAAATTATGTCATTTTGAAGATCTAAAGTGTCCATTCCAAATTTAGAAAAATGTCCAGGTAGTCCAAATTCTGCGACCTTCATCTATATAGTAACAGAATTTGTCAAAACACGAACAACTGGAATCTTGAGAATTCACATTGTAAAATTCAAAACTTTATTTGTAAACTACCCAAAATGGAGTAATGTTTATTGTGGTGATTTATAATGTTTATTATGTATTGTCTAACAATTGTGTGGATATTATTTGAAATTGAAAACAATTTGAGAATTCTCCACATATTTAATTGTGATGCACGTATTGTTATCTTCTAAAAATACAAATTTTTGAAGCGAAAGGAATCGCGTATATAAATAGATATATATAAGAGTGTATTTTATATATGCAAATTTAGTGAAACGGTGGTCATCGACAGCGTTTATAAAAAAAATGATTCATGTTTGGGAAGCAAAGGTTGCATGAAAAAAATGCGCGGTGTTACATTGGCAGAAATACAGAGTATGCAGGAGACAATTCGAATTCTCACTGGTTCAGTCGCGAATGGTCGTTCGCGCCGTACGGTTTAGTAGTACACTTTAGTATAGATTAGTACTGGCCATCCTCCAGTGTTCCACACCGTCGCTGCACCCAGGATTTTATCCAAATAAGAACTAAACGTTCGGTGGTTTCCTTGCAAAAGGATTCTACACTTCTGAAACCAAAACCAGGTGAGTTTAATTAGAAAAGACAACTCTATGCAATTCGAAATCCGTTAATTGCATTATTTATGATTCAATCTACCTCCAAACATGGATAATTTGTTGATAATTTAAGAACTTTCCAATAACATTAACACTTATAAAAAAAATGCTCTCAATTATAGTTGAAGATCAAATTATTAATTTGGCATTTTATAAATGATTAAAACAGGTTTTTGGCGCTTCCTTTTTACGACAATATTGATTACATTATAAAAAATTACTTTGACGCATTCAAACGAATTTGAATAAATCCGAAATTTATGTTATTTACAACGATTCTGCATTTAATTATAGAATATAATAGAAAGGATGCTACGTAATTAATTTTTACTGAAGTTGCTTCACGTCGTGTAATTAGTTATTTCCATTTATACAATTGTGAAAATACAAATCTATCGAGCATTTCGCGTAAATTTATTACATTAGTTGGATTGTCCTTGGTCTACAGTTTTTATTTTTAAATGTATTAAGTTAGTCAATGAAATTTTTTTTTATTGCTGTTATTAAATGATACAAAATATTGGCTTAATTGAGTTATTTTTTTTTTGTTAATACAGTGCTCTATTTTGTTTTATATATTTTTATGTTAAGTATATGTAAATCCAAGTCAATTATGTTTCTTCGCTCTTGAAGAGGTTGAATACCTTATTTCTAATTTTAATATTCCACAAAAATGTATCTAGTGTTATCGCATGCAAATGTTGTGTTCGCTTCATTTACAGTAAGAACGCATATATTCTAAACATAATATAATAAGATTTTTCTATTCAACAAAATGATAATGCAATAATAGAATTGTAATTTCAAGAATTTCTGCTTAGTTTGTTGACTTTCAATAAAAAAAAAATCAATTTATGTTTAAAAATTTTAATAGTAAAGAAAATATCTAAATTATTAATGTGTGCATCTTTAGTTTTGATGAACTAAATTGTACTTTGATTCACGAATAGTATGCATTTCATGAAATTACTTTGATTTCAGAGTTAAATATGTTATGTTCATAATAGGGATACGTTTTTTTGAAGAAAATGAATATTTATTTTCCCAAACAGAGAAAAGTTTTATTAAATAACAACTTCTTAGTAAATGTTAAGTAAATTTTATGTTAAAAAATCATTTATTTGTTCTCTTCTCTTTTAACAAAGTTTTCCAAATTTTTCATTGAAAAATCAATATCTTCTGCGTTCAACAAATTACTAACATCTTACAAGTTATATGGATAACTTCATGTCAAATTTCTTGGATGTTATTTTCATCTTCCAGTACAAATTCTGACTTGCCTTAAATTGGAATGTTTTTGTGGAAATTGCAGACTTTGTTATATCGAAACAATCTTAATATTACTTTTCTTTTGAATGAAATTTTTCTATTAATAATTTAATTAAAAACTATAGCTCGAGTTTTGAGCTACACGAATATTGTATAGAAACGTTAGAATGAATTTAAGAGTTATAAATGGAATAACCTCCACATTAATTATGTTTCTCTATTGTCATTGAACTTTACCTAAATTATTAAGTCGACTTTCGACTTTAAGACAAATTGTTTTGGATGCGTCCGCGTTTGTTATCGACTGGGATTTGGCACACGGGATAAATCTGTCTTTGGCATCTACGAGAACGACCGGTCGCAATGTTCAATGGATTTGGACACGCGAGTAATGTCGAATTACGTTGCCTCTCGTGCGTAGAAAACATTGTTTCACTCTCCCTCCCGCCCACGCGCTCTTCATATTTACGAAACGGCCATGCATATTGAACGCTACAACTATATTTGCAACATGCAAATAAACAAATAAATAGGCAGATCAAATAGTCTGGTTCTGCTCTCTTGATCGCACTTTGTCTGCAAGGAGGAGATAAATTCCGAAAAGGCAATAAATATCCTTTACACTCTCCACCCACGAGATGCATATCAATTTGCACAAAGGAGGAGAATCGCTGCAGACCACCCGGCTGTAAAAATACAAAAAACCCGCACGCTCGTAATGATTATTAATTAAAATCGCATTTGCGCTGTTTCCCCTTCGTGTCTGTCTGTTATTCTTCCTCTGCGTTGTCGTTTTTGCATTCCTGCCAAAAAAAAGAAATAACTTTCCTCGAGGGCCTTCGGTTTTGTTGCAACGCATCTGCAGAATGTTTCCGATGATCTTCTCGGATCGTCTTCATTGCGCGACTTGACGATCCGCGAATCCTGGATCCAATACGACCGAGTTCATTAGCATTCAAAATACGGAAATGCAATCAATGTCGTTTCGCTGGTTCTGGTGATTAACAATCATGTTGATGTTGATTCATTCCAATTCATTAATTAATCTTTAAAACGTGAGCATATTTTCTTTTTGAACGTATTTAGTTCATTTTGCTTACGTGAAAGTGCGGATGCAGAGTCATAATAATAATAATTATAAAATTAAGCATTTTTTAAAGAAGAAATTAAAGACATAATCAGTTTACACTTCGTTTCACAGAAATAATCGATTATTAAATACATTGAGTGAAGAAATTTTGCAACCTGAGATGTTTTGAAAAAAAATAGTATTTTCTTAACTTTTTTACAGTACATCCCAACATATTTCTTTATGGAATGAAAAAAAGTTTGGTTTGGACCAAATGAAACTGAGATATTTATGAAGATGGTAGAAAACAAAGTGCATTTTAGACTTTGATACTTTTCTATTATAAAGCTAAAAATACCACTAAAGCAATAACTAAGATATATTCTGTTTACGGAAAAGTTGCTTTAGATAAATTAACTTTATGAACATAATTCTCTAAATTTAGAGCTGATGATTTCAGCCTTAAAGTTCTGCTAGTATTAATGATGAAATCAAGACATTGATCGAGAATAACCCGCACTACACGACAAGTGAATGAGCAGAGTTATTGAAAATATCAAAAACAACTATCGACAAATGTTTTTGAAGCTTGCTTACATAAATCGTTAAGAGCTTTGTACAAAATTTGAGTTTTTGCAAAATTTCAATAACTGGAAGGGCGATTAATTTTTAGTTGACATAAAAAGCCACCTGAAGAAGTTTTTTTTGAGAAATTCTAGGTTTATAGAACAAAAATAGACCATACATAATTAAAGAAACGGCATGAACTTTATGGACAATCCAGTAATTCTCTTAATAACTATATTTTTAAATTACATCATACATTTCAGATGTATCTTGTCCGATAGAAAAAAAGGATATTGTTTATATTTCTACATGTAAACTAAGCATAAAAACTGAGTTGATAGATTTTTCTATATACATTGCAGTATAAGAAATTTGACGAGGCTTCAGATATTACAAGAAATGAATGATTACCTCAGCATTGAATAATGAATAGAGAATAGTGAAAAATAAAGTATCAATTACTTTGTAAATACGTTTTTATGATATCATATTTTATTTTGAGTTTACATTCTAAAATCAATATCAATATTTTTTAAACAATAATTTTTATTTCATTCTATATTTATATATAATTTATTTTATGATCTTTGGTTTCTTGACTGAAACTACTGGATGATTTTTACTTGCTATCTTTGTAACTTTTACAAATATTTAGGAATTATGAGTAACGTAGATATAGTGATGATTCTTTAATAACAAAAAGAACCGCAATCACTAATTACACATATTAATGATTATTGCTACCATTATAAATTTATTTTTGAAAAAAGCATTATATGAATAAGACCAATAAATAGCAATAATCTAAATATAAACTGAATGACTAAATATATTAGATATTAGTCACTGCACGGAACACATCGACATTGCATACATGATTGATAATATTTAAGTGTTTATATTGAGTGAAATCGAAATCGATCTGCCAAATTGCCTCACTCATCGTTCTCCTATTTCATTAATATCACATCATATACACACAACTAGTCTACTTGGTGGCTATGGGCTTCGCTATAAATAGTCCCATCTAAACATGCAAACATTGTTATGCACGAAACAAACATACGGGTAACATCAGAAATAGAATCGCAGAAGTTTAAGGTCAATAAAACTATCAGATTTTCTTGCACACAAAGTTTGGAAACAAAAAGTTACGTAACACGAAGTTTAGATGAACGTAATTAACCTTGGAAATCATACTTTATTCAGTATATAAAGAAAACTGCTGTAATTATATAGGAAATTATACGTGTTAATTAATGGATACGTTCAGTTTGATTATGTTTGCATAATGAATCTGTTTAAATACCGACAAACCAAAATATTTGTATGAAAACGTAATTATGTTTAATAATATAAATGTTATTACTATAAAGTTAGTAAATTTTAGATTCTGCTGACAAATTCTGTCTTACTTTATAAAGTAATAGAGAATTTGTAGCGCTAATGTTGAAAATAAAACTAGTTGCTATAATGCTACGTAGGTTGTTACGTTCTTGTAGGTAGGTAATATCTATTAAGCCGCGAACTAAACTTCATACGTTTCTAAAAACGATGCATGTCACATGGAAGTTGCTTATTCCTACTTTCCCCAATTACGCTGAAAGATTCAAAAGTAATGCGACTATAATACTACATTTGATTTAAGTAATTATGGAACATATCCTGGATTGTTTGAAACCGGACTAATCGAGGACTATCGTAAGACTTATTGAACCAGGCTTTGTTGTATTTGAATTGAAAATACTTGACTTATAATGAAGAAGCACATAGTGTTCAATTGCTATCCAAAATTGTTTCATTGTCAGAGATTTATTCCTGAATCCGTCAGTGGAGCAGTGCGTGCGTTTATTAAAATAAAGACGGACCCCAGTATTCCCAATTGAAGGCTATTGTTAGAAATTAAACCGAGTGCACGCAATTGTGTAAATGAACATTCTAATGAAAAAATAAACATTTGTTTTCCCCGCGCATTCAAAACATTCGACTTATCGCAGAGCGTCACAGATGGCCAGAAGAAAATAATAGAAATGCAAATAAATACGTCTATAGCGTGCAGTAGAAACACTATAAGTAGAACAGAAGCGTAAATACAATGTGAGATTTTGTTGTTTTGTTTGGTAATCAAAGTTTCAATAGATTTATTTAACTTTTGTTAAGTGAAATTTATTGTATACATAAAAAATAAAACAAATTGCTGCCTTTCCAGCGTTATTTGACTATCATCAATATTTATTCACATTTTAATCATTCGATTTACAGATTCATTAAAATAAATATAATTTACGTTCAGCTTTCTTTAATTACATTTTATTTAATTTGAAATTGGTATGAGAATATTGATAAAAAAAACCATATATGATGGAAGTTTTTATATTATGTAATGTTATCTAAATGTTGATTGTTTTCATTATAATTAAGATTATCAAATTTTGTATGGAGAATGTAATGAAATTTGAAGTGTAAATAATACCTGTTTTATTGGATTATCAAAGAATATTTTATAAAATTTACTAAAGATACTGCAGTTTTATCGTCAGGTAAAAAAGTTATCTAATAAATGCATTAGGTAATCTACCAAAATTCCACACGTCAACTCTAGTGAAGTTGGATAATTTTTGATAATAATCTCGCAATTTAAAAAGTGCATAAAGCGTCTAATCTAAGGTAGTTAGGTATTTATATAAATAGAATATTATCTTCATAACGTCATAAAATACGAATATATAGATAACAATTTAACGAAGAATACATTAAAACTTAGTTTTTTTTTACTTTCAACAAGATTTTTTAAGAAGAATCAATTAATAACTTCCCTACATGAAAAAAAAACATATTTTCAATTCATATATTTATGCTGTTAACTATGACTAAAAAATTACATAATGTAAATAATAAGAATGTAAAAATATAATTTCATTTAATGACTGTGCTTTTATTAAAAATCAACTAATTAATGTTAAAATATTAATTAAAATAATTAGAGGTTCACCGCAAAGAAAACAGGTGACATTGTCTGACTATAGAAGTGTTGGTCAATAAATAACATTTTGATGGTAAGAATGCGGGTCTTAACACAAAAGCCTCGAAGCGAATCAATCGGTCAATTTATAAAAACAGCTATTCACAACACACCCAAAAGAAGAAAAAAAGTATATATAAACATTTCGAACTTGAGAATTTTAGTGCGTAACGACCATAAAAAGTTCGCAATGCGATCGGAATACCTTAGGATAAGTCGCAGCCGGCAGTTCGCTGTACAAACGATTATATCATAGTGGGTTTACGTCGAAGGATTTTCTATTATTAGACATGATACACAAACACACATAACAAATGCACAATAATCGCTATAATTACGTTTATTGGTTTGTTGTTTTTTTCATCTTTTACATATTAAATGCATCCGAGCGAATTTTAACTTGATCCTTGACACAGTTTCAAATATTTGTTTGGATACTTGCAAGAAATTTTATGCACCGGATCATAACAAAAACGGTGATCAATCGAAACATATTTAGGCCAAAGCTCAGGCAGAAGGAAATAATTACGTAAGCGTAAGTTTACGCACTTTGGAAGCGATGTGTATGTGTGATTATTCACTTAGCGCGTTTCGTTAGTTCGCTAAAATCTCATAAATATTAGCATATAAATCGTGGGCGAAACTTTTCTTTGCCGGTGGGCGAAACGTAGCAGGTTGATTGAAGAAAGGAATTCAAGTTTTTGTTTATATATTTCTGATACAAAAACGAAATAATAATAATACAAAAATAATTAATGTTGCAATATGAAAATTTAATTTAAAAAACAAGTTCATGCACTCCAAAAAAACAAAAAAAAAGCTGATCGCCGATGACTTGATTTGTAGACCGCATTCATCTGATTTAATGACTAATATTACTGTCCTTAATTGCAAAATTACTATATTTATATTGTGGACGTTTACATGACCCAAAAGGCAAGAATTATCGATGGACTTTCAATATTACACAATTTGCTTAAAGATGAATTAATTTATAAAAACGCAGCAAATTTCTTTATTGACCAATACAGGTCAGATTCGTGTGAACTTCCTTTCAATAAATAAGATTATCGCATTTAAAACATCGATTCGTTAAGTGAAAACATGATGTAGCAATTATTGGAATATTAATTTTAATGTTGTTATTCAATTTCTTGATAATTATTTCAAGTAACGCTTCAAATAAACGAAATGAAAACTTTAGCAAATGATCGAAGTCTTATATCAATTTATTTGTTTTAACTACAATAGTTTTATATGAAGACGCGTATAAATTTCATGAAAAAAATAAATTGTGAAAATATGATTAAACATGACAAAAAAATAATGAAGCAGACTGAATCTTGTTGCATACTAAAATGAGGTCACTTACAGTTATACAGTTGATTCATTTCGTGTTTTGTTATTCTTTACTTGTACAAGAAGAAATTGTTCTCATGTTTATTAAGTATATAGTCTAGTTTTTAGAATGAAGCTTCCACAGAATTATTTGTGAAGATATGCATGTTTTTCTCGAAGTACTAGCCAAAAACATAATTGAATTTAGTATCTAATAACTAAAAGTCAATAATAAAGTTTTATTTAAAAAGAAATCCACAAGACAAATCTTGTTTTAAAATGATGAGTCTTATTAAATCCCAGTGAAAACGATAAACTTTTACGACACAAAAGCGATCATATTTTATATTCTTCTTGCGTTTGGGATATATTTAGGGTCACTGTGAAACAGAGACATTGCGAAATTTGGCGTAACCGAAACTATGCTGTGTGGCGGATAAACACTTTCCGCTTCATACTTATTTTTAGCGAATTTTGTGCCCATATTTTAAGCGTATATCATTCCATTATTCGCGAAGGAATGCCAACATGTTGGCTGTGACATTTAATGATCGTTAAAAATACATATTTAAAAATTATAGCTTATTCTGTTTAACATATTCGATTTAAGTCTAAAGGAAAAATTATATGAATTTTAATGAATTATAACAAAGACTAAATATGTTACATGTGTCGTGATCGATTTGAAATATAAGAAAAAAAAAGTGTTGTTGGTAAAGTAATAATCTTGGTTTATATCATGATGCACTATTTGTTCGACCTATATAATAAAATAAAGCGAAGAGAAAATATGTAACGATTGTAATGGAGGAATATTGCAAGCGTATAAATAAATACTTTGCCAATATTTGCACAATGTTATTGTGACATACATAGCACACAAAGATGAATATTTTAAATCGCATCTCTAAAGTTATCAACAATATTCTAATAAATAATTATTGTGATCTTTAATGTTCGAGATTATTTAATAATATCGATGAATTTCATCTTTAAAAACATACTAATATATTATATAATAAAGCAGTAGATAAAAACGTAAGTATGTTTACAATTCCAAAGTATAAAACTGATGCTAATACAGTGGAACCTCGTTTAACGAACAAAATTAATTTGCTTAACGAGCGACTTTTCGTGTTACAAGGTCCCGGATTCCGCGTCCTCTACATCATTTTTAAAACATATTATGTGTATTTTTTGAATATATTTTACTATAATACTTGATATTTTTATCGGAATGTAATATTATTTTTTTTTGCTTAAAACGAAAATTCACTTTGAAAATAATCAACTGTAAGATCATTCATCTATACATATTTATTTTGCAACAGGCTATCTCGCCTTTTTTGTGCCTTGTCTAGCAGTTGCTGTTTTAATCTTCGTTCGGATCGATTTCTTCAAGAACCTTCAGATCGGCCTCAATAAGTTCAAGGCTTTTCAGAAAACTTTCCTATTGTCATGGTGATGATCCATCCCATTTCAGTATCTTTAACTTTCTTCTGTGAGATACTCAATTTCATGTTCGTTTTTAAAGAGAATTAACAAAAAAGAAAACAATGAAAAATTGCAATTATCAAATCATATTTTATTATGTTTTAAGAATATATTAATTTCATAACACTTTGATAATAAAAGTCAATGCCAAATGGATACTAATAATAGTGCTAATAAAACTTGTTATCGCATAGCGAATTTGCAGGTAATAATTTCTGATTCCGATTTGTTCGTTATTCAAATGCCATGCAAACGTAATTTTCATGCACTTTCATTTTATAATGTATACATTTTGAATATAATTTCTTAAAATCTTACGAAATTGTATTTAGTTGAAGATTTAAATACGATTATTTAGTAAATGATACCTTAATAAAAAAAAAACACACATTATAGATCTGAGAAATTGCATGAAAGTATTAGTTTATTTGCTTATTTGAGCATGAATCTGTCGAAACATAATAACTACCAATATTCATAGTAATTTACTATACACGTTTGTGTATGAATTTTTGTAATATTACAAATTTTACAGCTAACAATGGAATAAATTTCCATCGGTTAGAGCAAATATAAAATTAGACGTAGAAATGTCACGAATCTTCTGTGACTCCGTTTCGAGGTCAGGTTACGATTTTCTCGAAAGGAGGTTCATAAACAACAGCAAATGCATTTTCTCCATTCCTCTGCATATTGTATACCATCATAAAGTCGGAACGCAATTGAACCATAATTCATTAATTAATTAAAGCAGTGAATGGAAACTTTCGTATTTTATGACTATGTTTATTGATTTTTATTATTTATAAAGATACATTTTTTTGTTGCAGGGATTATATGATCACTAATTATGGACACATCGGATAGTTCAAAGATGATTCTTGGAAGGACGATGAAAACCAGCTTATTTTTATTTTTCGCATTATTAGCAAGTAAGTAAATTTAATTTAAAAAAAGAAATAATTAGGTTAAAACGCATACCGAGATACGGTCATTACAGCGGAAGAATGACAAGTTTTTTTTACTTTTAAATCCACAAACTTTGGATTTAGATTAGATTACGAGATGGTGAAATTTAGTTTCCTGTCCAATTTTGCGGTTCTGCGGATACCTTAAATGTAAATTCATGAAAGAGATAATGAAATATTTAATCAGTTGGTTGTTGGTAGATTCTGGTCTAGATTTCGATAGAATGTACGTAATAACTCACATTTAACAGTGGCAATTTGTTTTGTTGTCGGTATCTCATTCTAATTTTTGTGTGTGCGTGAATGTGTGAAAGTTGCACAATAATTATTATGTCATCGCAGGAGATGTGTGGAGTGTAATAGATTACATTATTTGCATAGTCGGATGAGTTCATCGCGGCTGCATCTCGAATTTTCGGGGTTACGTACACTGTTTAATCGGAGTCAATTGATATTAATAATGATTAATTAATAGAAAGATTTTTCATCACGTCCCAAGGATGTTATATGTTCCAAGGTTTATTGCCTCGTAAAAAATAATTAACTCTTTTGTTGTTTTTATTTGCAGTTTCGAGTGCTAGTAGGGATGAAAGGCATTCAGAGAAGGATAAGAGCTACGCGTGTCCGCCGAACTTTATGAGGCTCAGCTACAAGTGCTACTATTTCAGTAATTACACTGCGACGTGGCAGGATGCGTATTGGAAATGCAGCGAATTGAGAAGCAACATCGCAACTATTAAGAACGGAAATCAGGATAAGGTCGTCAGGAGGACTTTGGATCAGAAGGGTTTAGGTAATTGGATTAATGTTATAACTAGGGGACTAGGAGGAATTGAGTGAGATTATGTTTTCAGCGCCCAAAGAGTGGTGGGTTGGCGGTAGATACGATTGGGGTACGATGTCCTGGAAGTGGGCCGAGTCCGGTAAAAGCGTGCAATACAATGGTTTTCATGAAGACTTCAATCTGATGCACGATAAAGATAGTCTCCTATGGAATTGCATTATTTTGGATCCTGCTAAACAATACAGGTAAAACTTGATTTAAATAATATCACAAATTATAATATCAATGAAAAATTGTTTTCAAATTTATTATTAATCAAAATCTCAATGAAAATGTTAAAGACAAATTCATTAGTCACATGAGTATTTTCTATTTCATACACTTTTCAAAAATTCATGTCTTTCCTTTATGAAATCGTCAAAAAAACTAAGTGAAATACAAAAATCTTGACTGTAGTTTCTATATATTATTGTGTTATATTTTTGTAGTTGTGAAATATTAAAAACTTTTAAATATAAGTATAAATATTCTTCAATGTTTGCAATTACCACAAAAAAAAAACATAAAATAAATAAATCTCGAATCTTTTTTTTTTAAAAGAAATGCAATATTTCTTATAAATTATAAAATAAATATTCAAACAGATGTTCGAACTAAAAATAAATGATATAATGTTATGCAGATGAAGTAAATTATGTATTATACAGAAAGCGGAATTGTGTGAAATTGCAATTTTATAGTTTTGAAAATAATTTTAACCGAAATAAATTAAAAAAAACGAACTAGAATAAAATTTGTAAAATAATCTATATGAAAAAGTAAAGTAACCTTTCTTTAATAATAATTAGCTTTCAATGTTAAGTTAACATTTAGATCTACGTAATTTTACAATAAAATCATTTTTAATGACCAAAGTACTAATATAATCCTTTGGAAACGTTATTTTTTTTGTAGCAATTTGTTTGAATGAACACACATCAAGTAGCTTACATAACATAATTACATGCTTATCTAAATCAGAATAAATCCGCATTTTACATTGTATTTAATTTCTCATGATTTTTGTAAATATAAATATTATTTTTGTTGATAATTCTTAATAATGATATACAATAGAACCTCGCAAAACGTGTATTTCGCTTAACGAGCAAATTGAATTGTAAAAAAAATGACTCGTTTAACGAGGCGACGTTTCGCATAACGAGTGACGATGAGAAGACAAGTCCCGGATTGCACGCCTGCTACATCATTTTTAAACACATATTATGTATGTTTTTGAATATGTTTCACAATTTTGGAACGGATTAAACTCGTTAAGCGAGGTTCCACTGTATTTGATGTTGACTACTTCGAAAAATGTATCCTTTTTTTTACATTTTAAAGTTATTAAAATTTTGATTGTTTCTAGGTGGAATTCAAGGATGTGCACAGAATCGAAATATTTCATTTGCCAGTCGAAGATTCGCACCATTGGCAACAAAGATAGGAAGAAGCTTCAAAAGCGGTTTCGTACCGATAAACACAACAAGTTGAACGAAGTACCCGTACCGGAAATCCAGACAAACTCAATTGGAACTGCACGAAAGCAATACGACAAGAATATCTTAAACAAGGTGTCGTTTGCAGCAAGACCGAAAGAAGTGACGATGTACAGCAGGAAGAACAAAAAGGAAACACAGTCTTTGCAGTTCAATAATGGAACGCAAGCGGACATGCCCAGTCGCAGAGGATCAAAACCTAGGAAGTTGCGTAAACAGAAGGAAGGCGGTGGTCGGAGAAAACATAATAAAATCATGTATAAAACTTATTACGAGGGCACCCCAAGTCCCTATCTGCCCAGAGTACTCGTAGAAGAATTTAGTTATAGTTAGACTACTTGTGTACACTTAAAAACCTAAGATTCAAAGTATTGCTCGACAAGCCAATTTATTTATTATTGCTACGAAACTGACGCGAAGAATATCTATATTTTTGTATACTGTAGTTTGTTACAAGTTTTTTGATTCCTATATTCGCTTCACTAATTTATTTCCTAGTTTGTAACTGAACTTGCACTTGCATGTATATAGAATCACTTCATATTATTTTCTTTTTAGGGAGTATACATTTACAGATTGTTGTACTGATTACAATTATTTATATGTGTGATATATAACTATAACTGTTTTGCCAATTGTTCAAATTTCTTTAGAATCATATAAATTGTATTTGTTTCCTTGTTTTTTTTATTATCGATGTAATAAGTGTACTTTTTTTTGTTCTTTAAATACAAGCAATTATAAATAGAAGATATTTTTGGAATTTGTATAATATTCACACTTTTTTTTAAATTTTCTTTCCTTTTTATCCACCACTGCGGATTTCCTTCAATAGAATGTTAAAATATATTATGAGATATTTTAGTAATTTTTAACGGTTTCTAACTTAATCTTTATATTTATCTATTGCTATCAAATTGCCGGCAAATTCAAATGTGTTTTGGGCATCGAAATTAAAAAATTTGATGTTTCGGCATAAAATTTAATAGTTAAAGTATGCAATTTTGTATAGAAACTAAAATTAGTGAATGCTGAAGAAACTCAAGAATATATAAATATTCAGTAATTCAAAAAACATTACGTGAATACAACCTTACCTATCCACTTTCAACATAGTGTGAATACATGGTGCAAAAGATACGCAATGCATTAAAACTGATGTAGATAAAGAAGTCTAAGCAAATATGCCGTGTGTTGTGGTGGCAAATAAAACAACTTTTACCGGAAAGTGTAAAGATAACGCCCAAAGGTCATTACTAAATTAAATGTTCGTAACGTAAAAAAAATAATTGATGAGCAAAACCAAAAAACATATTTTTTTTTGTTGATAATTTCATAATCATGTTTGTTTAATATAGATTAGATTTTATAAAATGTGATAATATTAAAACAAACAGTAAATTAAAAATAAGATTATTATTATTATTGGCGAAAATCGATAGAAGATATTTTTTTTATACTGAATACTAAACATTTCTATGCAAAATATACCGGCGGATAACAATAGACTTATTCTATTCTTAGGATTTAAACTTTGGAATTTTTATGTGTTAACCGCACCCGCTTTTTCAAATATCTTTCTTCGCTACTTTCTCGCGATTATAATGCAGGGGGTCCGTATCATATCGCTCATGTGCACTACTTTAACAGTGTAGAAGACGAACTTGAATTTGTCACTACAAGACAGATCGTTTCTACTAAAGAAAGTGCAATTTTTGTTATTTGTTTACAAAAAAGGTTAGTAATTATTTGTAATTGAAATAATATAGATATAATTATAGTACTTTTTACAATGTGAAAACTGATTATTTCCTATGTGACGCTGAATAGGACATAACAAAAATATTCGATTCAAAAGATCACTTTTTAATTAGAATAGTCATTCACGATACCTTCTTAAGTACAAACATTGATAAAGAACGATCATCTATGTTACAGATTCTCTCAGGAAAAGCCAACTTGTTGCTTCTTGAAATTATCTTTGATTTTATTTAATAAAACAAAATATTTCAAGTTTTTTTTTAAATCCATATGATGAAGTAAAGAATATTGACTTTATGTCCAATTCTTCATTAACTAAGTGTCCAAATACTAGTTAATTAATTGTGATTTTGCTACATTTTCGACAACCCCTTAAGATAATTACATCATCGACCACTCGTATGAAAGCTGAATGTCTCACCTTTCCAACGAGCCTACTGGCATCTTCGTACTACCTCCGAGTCGTCTGCTATGAGCTGTAGAAAATTGGAAAAAAAGTGTATAGGATTTAGCAAAAAAATAGATTTTCGTTAATAACTCGAAAAGTAATAAACTTTTTTATGATTTTATTGCATAATCAGATGCACGCAAGCGTTGCGCAACTCTTTATGTAACAAAAGTTACGTAATGTTTGTTTCGTAACAGAGAAATGACGTTTTTTTTCGGTTTTTCGTGAATTTCTCGACAACCCCTTAAGATAATTACATCATCGACCACTCAATTGAAAGCTGAATATGTCAACTTTCCAACGAGCCTATTGGTATATTTGTGGTGCCTTCAAGTCGCTTGTTACGAGCAGTTGAAATTGTAAAAAAAGTGGATAGGATTTTCTTAAACATCGCTGTTTCGTTGAGATCCGACGACTTTTCACGTTTTTTCTTAATTACACAAAAAATACCTAACTTTTGTTGCATTTCATGATTGCAAAAGAAAAGCGCCTCCCTTACCCAACTGTTTATGAAACAAAAGTGCCGCAATGTTCGTTAAGCAACATGAAAAAGACGTTTTAGATTTCAAGTAAAACTTTGGTGTTAAATTTTTAACATTTTCCTATTTTAGATACTTGTAACCTAAGTTTTACATTATTTGCTCATTGTCTCCAATGAGTTTCTAACTAAGATTCAAGCATCTAGATTTTTCTAACACGCTTGACACAGTTTAATTAATTCTCAATTAGACTTCAAGTAGTTTGAACTTGAACTTTCGCTTATGCAACCACACGTGCAGCGTACGTTGTGTTGTGACCTACACTCGCATCCTAACATCTCAATTTCCAATTGATTAATTTATAGTGCAAATGCAATCAGCGTGATTTATGTAATCTCCTATTCAAGCGACGAAAACCACATAGTAAATATTCATAATCGAAATTAAATTTTAATTTATTAAACACTGGAATCTGGCGCTGCGGGCTGCAATTTTTCCCAATTAAATGCGTGGATATATATAAATCACTAACTAATCAGCTAATTGAAACTGGAAAAGATTGGACGCAATGAAGCGAGATTGAATAAAATAAAAACAAGTAGGGTTTTACATTCGATGCAGTATAGATAATGAGCGAGGCTAGTCAACAGTTACGAAATGCAAAAAAGCAGCGTAACAATGGAATATTATCTTTTGCGTGCTACTTATTTAACATCAACAATGATTTTCGAATTCCTCATTTTTTAGTACGAAAACTGAATTGAAACAAATCTCTAACGCTTTGTAATTTCACATCATGATTAGATAGTTATGTTGCTAAACAAGCAAACCTAATTGGTATTGGAATTTTAATTACTTTTTTTGCTCGATCATTTTACGCTTGTCATTATTTAAGGCAAGGCTTTAAATTACATGTTGTCAGACTATATTATATGTCTAGTTTTTACGATCGTTTACACAAAAAAAAAATTATAAAATTTGTTGATTTGATTGCTGTTAGGAAAATTTTGGTGAACAGATTTGTATATAATATACGAATGTTTGTAATAAGTAACAATATTCTGCTTTTTGAAACCGCACTAATCGAGTCACAGGGGAACTTTGATAATTCACTTTTACTCCATTTGGGGTAATTTACCCCGACCCCTGAACTTCATACATACAAAATTGAATAATTGTGTGTACTATCAGAGGAATTTGCGAGTTCTTGAGAAATATGAAACCGTTTCGTAAATCATGAGTTGACAAAGGTAAGACATTTCTTATTCAAAACTCAGATTACTTAAATTTAATTATTTTATAAATGTATTTGTGTTACAGTTATTTTTTCATTGAATTTGAATCGTTTAATCTTTGTATCAAACATTAAGTACTCTATTGACGCCATCCGGAGTCTATACAATAAATATTATATAATCTTCTAATAAAAACATTGCAACTTATCAGAAAGGAAATATGATTCATTATAAATGGTAATAAATTATTTCGCAATATCAATTTACAAAAAAAAATTTTAATTGTTGCAAATTAAGTACTTTCCAATTTTCGTTTTGAAAAACATTTATGTATTAAAAATGATAAAAGGATAAATATCAATGAAAGTTGATTGAAGAGTTCTATTTAAAGCGTTTAAACGATTAATAAAAGAAATCGCGAGCAATAACAATCCAATGTATATATATAATATTTTGGACTTTTTCCTTGACTGAATGGACGTGCAAAGTGTAAGTCGTCGTATTGGTTGGTGTCCAGTTGTTTATACGAACGCACATCATCATTCAGTGTCTCGCTACTAAGCGGAGCGAAAGCGCGTAAACGCAATTTGAATTCGACAAACAGTTTTTGTAGTAGTTGTCACGTAAATTGTTACCATTGAAAACAGTTTGATAAAGTGCAAGCAAAATTCTCGTGAACAGTGTTTACTGTTGTACAAAAGAAGGTAAACGATAAGAACCATGACATAGATTCATGCACAAGAAGTTCAAATACTTTTCTCATAGTTTCTGCGCTCCTTTTAGTTTCAATTTCCTAACGTAAGTTCACTTTGTTCCCCAGTTATATTTAAAACTATATGTTTGTGAAAGACAATAAACATATTTTTGGAACGGAATCCGTAGTAATGGGATGAAGAAATTTTCATGTGTGTTTTCGTTATTAAAATCTACGAAATCTGCATTATTTTTATTGCTATGCTTTTTTAATGATAGTATTCGTAACTCAGTCGACGTCCGTTTCCGAAAACATCAAACATATTTTTGCATTACCCATAAATTTAAAAAAAAAATAAAAAATTTAACTTTTTTTATATTTAAATTTTATAACTTCACATAAAATAACTATGTTTTTTTTAATCTTATGAATCCAATATTACCTAAAAAATGTATCTACTTTTAGATTTGTTATCAACAATAATCTATTTTGTTTTTTTAATAAACTATGTCTATCGTTTGATAGATTTAAAGTACTTTTCTTTTCAATTAAAAGTTTACTATTAACGTCTAATTTTTATGTTATTGCTATAGAAAAAAATAAAATTATATAACAATTAGATATTGAATATCAGGAGAATCACGATTTATCTGATCTATTGAAATGATTTTTTTTGTCATATTTTAAATAATTAGTTTTTTCAACTATTCGCAAACGATTTGTTGGAAACTTAAGTTTAATATAACTAAAAAGACGTATTTTCCATGTATCATATCATAATTTTTATTATAGATTCTAATCAAGAGTGCGAAACTAATTAATTATTGTGATAAATTTAAAATTTGTTTTTTTTTGTCGCATTTTAAATAATTCAGTTAATGTATGAATTCGAGTATTTCATTAAGAAAATAAATATTTTAAAAATACGTTTACATAAACAAAGTGGGCTTTTGCTTCTTTAAATATAAATTTAAAATATTTATTTTTTGAAAAAAAAAAAGAAGTTATTTTCGTTTCCAAAACATGTTTCAAACCTCATTCATTATGTTATTGTTCTGATACAAAATATTTCATAACGCTGAATGTCTTCACTCAACTATCCCAATTATTTTGTTTTTCAAGGAGTTGCTACATATTTAATTTAATTATATAATAAAATTCTGCAGATATTTCTCAACCACTAGAAGGCGCGTATCAAACTGACAGCTGTCAATGCGTTGTTAGTTGCTTTTGTTTATCTAATTTATTGTGTATTATTTAATAACTTTAGCATTATCCAGATTCCTTTTATGCATTTACAATACTGCGGTTGACGTAATAAATGTTTTATTAATAAATATTTCTGCATAAATAATGGAGCAGTGCACCTGCGCCAAGATGCCAAAGTCTACAGTATTTTGTACACGGTGAAAACAAAACTGAAACCAAGGCCTGCTAAAATATCTCTATTTGCACATATTTTCTATTAAATCTCATAAATTAATAATATATATAGCGAAACTAATTATACATAATATATACAATCATTATTTCTACTCGATGTAAATAAATTATATATATTATGTGGAAAAACACTAACTTTGTTGGCCCTGATTGAAGAGCTATTGTGAGCTATGGGCTAATACTATTTGGATTAACACTGATTGGGGATTAAACAAAATGTGGCTTAAATTTGCCACTTGTTTGATAATATTATTTGCAAGAACTGTCGCGATTCAAATTACATAATTTATAGGGTAACATCCTAGAAAATTTACAATGAATAGAAACTACTCAGAAATGTAAATTTTCATTATGTGAGAGTGATAGAAATAAAATTTAAATCAATGACCTTATTGCATACAACAAATGCAATTGAATAGTGTTAAAAGCAACACTAGAAGAGTCTTATTTTTGAGTACAAAAATATGTACAAAATCTTGTAACTTTTGCATATTCTTATATTGCACATGTAAAAATAGAAATTGAAATATTGGTTGATTGAGAAAGACATTGGTCGATAGCCTTTCGACCTAAATGTGGCATATAAAAATTTGAAAATAAATAAATTTGCATTACAAAAATTGCATATATATTATGTAAGTATTATCTTTATTAGGGATGGATTATGTTCTAAAAGCCTTTGTGTACTGTGCTAATATAGAAACGTTTGTTGATACATTCAGTGGTGTTCGTTTTATGTAATTCCAGTTCTATCAGTAACGGGTGTTGCGTAACTTTTTAAAGGTATCAAATGTAAAGTAATTAATTATATAATAATCACATATTTATCGGAATGTAGATATGCAGTAATGGATCAAATTGTGCGGTTCCGATTAGTCCGGTTTGAAAATTGCAATAGAAACTAAATATTTTATAAAAAATTAGTTTAGAATTTTTTTCTCAGACATAAAATCTTTTTGTGCGTTTTATTTTTGAATTTTTCGATTAGTCCGTGATATTCACTATGTGAGCTATTGCTACATATCTAATTTATATACAATATAGATAAAATAATAAAGAATTATGTTGAATAAATGTGAATTCGAAGAATAAATTGTTAAGAGTTTATACTAAGAACAGAGTAAGAAATACGTTGTTAGTACAGGTATACTAGTTACGTAACGTTGGCATTGAAACTTCGGTTGAAAATAAAACGAAACTGGAGACTGGGAAAGTGAATCCAAATATTTACAAGACACGAGATGAAATCATATTATATCATCCACTACAAATTCGGCGCTGATGCTTCGGGTAAGATCAAATTAATTTGCATGATGAATGCTTCGGACAATCACTGCCGAAAGATGCATACAAATTTAGCAACAACAATTAATGTAATAATAGCGTTTGTGGCCTTGTGCAGGTGTGTGTGTTTTGTACGTAAATTACTGTTTAAAGGTAAGAAAAACGAGAGAATCTAAACGGCAGGATTTTGCAATAGAATTTGTCGATATCGGTGATATTAGGTGACATCAGACTGTGCTGCACCTTCTCAGATCGCGACGTTTTCTTATGCTCTCAGCGATAAATCTATTGTCTTGCTCGTGACATAAGTCCAATCTAGATGACACAATTACTGTAATTACTATAATTAGTATAAGTATATAGTTCGAATTATAAATACAACTTGCGGCGTAAACATTTTGATTTAACAACAATGAAATCATCTAAATTCGAGGAACTGTATTTTGTAGCTGTACCAAAACAGAAAATAAACTAGTTAGAAACTATAATTTATATTTTGCAAATAGACCAGTCGGTCGCTTATTTATAGATTCGACATTTGTATATCGAATTAATTATATTTTGTATTCGTGCGCAAATATAGTTCCTAGAGTTAGTTTATTTTTATCTTTTTTTTTCCCATCGTAAATTCCAATAAAATTTTTGATTGGCTGAAAGAATGTATTAGGATTACGATTCGATGGTAATCATTATTTTTAGATGATATATGTGTTTAGGATGTTTGCCAGAAGTAGGACAAATTCACAACATTTGATACATTTCCCAGTTTCATTACATGTTAAGGTCGTTCACATTAAATGACGCAGTTTATTTATAGCAGTTCTGTAGGTTTTCAAAGAAAATTCTTTTATATACGTAAATTGTGTCTGTTTCGCTTGTCCCAATTATTTTTTTTTTTAAGTTTCAAAGATCGAACTTTTGAACTTAGATTTTTGTGTTTCATTTTTGTAAATTACGACACATACGAATCTAATTTCACGGTCCGAAAAACCAATTTAAAACCAATCTTAACAATGAAATAGTAAAAAAAATATATTGGTTTTTATTTCTATATTAATAGTCAACCTATTTGAAGAACGCTTATTTAGACTTTTGGTTCTTTTGATGAGAAAGTGCGGCTCCCAACTTTCATAGCTATGATGTAAAAATTCATTTAATTAGTAAATATAGATTGCTACGTGCGGCTCTCTAGACAATTTCTCAATTGGCTATATGATAAAAGTGGCTCTCTACTTCAAAATAATTGTGGACCACTTGTCTAGACATCGAAATTAACTAAACAAATATAAGAAACGTACTAGTAGATTAAATAATTTGTTTATTTTAAATAAGCGCCGATAATTATAATTTATATGCAAATATGCAATGAATAGTACATTTAAATTTTATCATTAACCTTTTCTAATCTCCAAAACCCAAACAAATTATACCCTTGATCGAAAGAGTTATCTGGTAGAGCGAGTAAATGAAGAGAGCGTAATAATTTTGCAAAGTGTAATTTTATCTGCAAACAAAATTTAATCGACATGCAATGGAACTGTTCAAGTTGCGAATTGCTGAAATCGAAACCGGGGTAAATAGGAAATGCATGAATGGCTGCTTTGATGATTAAAATTGGAGTGATCTATCACACATTGGAGCGACCTTCAAACATTTTATTAGTTTTCAATCGGTAGTGCACGAAAACAGTTTTGGCACAGACAATTGAACTCCAGATACCTGGGAGTGAGTATACCTGACTGTGCCTACATCCTCTCACCGACAATTCAGTTTTTTTTTGTTGCAATAATCCGACTGTTCTATATTCATTGTTCCAGTGCAATGCTCTTGGTGTGATTGTGTGAAATCAACGATGGCTTTACAACTCTACCATCTATCTCTTCTGTTGACATTCGGTGAGTACTCTTATTGGAATACATAAGTAATATTAATATTAATATTTCTCATGTGAAACAAAATAGATTAGTTTCGTAGCGATCGCTCGATGATAGCTGGAAGGTTTTATTTAAATAACTCTAATCTATCTACTTCGTGATTGATCGTTCTAATTGCAAAAGTAAATAATATCTTGTTAGCGCAATCCATTCATGACTTCTCTAAATATTTCGCAAATTTGTTATTTATCCGTAGCAAACAAACACTCACAGCATGTTTCAAACAATAAATATTTATTATTTTAACCTCTCTTCCCCGATATAATACGCATTTATATTGATAAATAATCGCGATGATTCGAATCATCTTATCAACTTTCTATATTTCTAATGTTACGCACGACTTTAGAGAGAATTACTATTTTTTTTGCAGCTAGCGAAATTACTAATTTGTGTAACATAAATAAAACTGGAGGAAAGTTTAGTAATAAAATTTAACTTGAAAAAACAATAAAAAAAACTTAATCTTGATTAAATTCGGTGGGTCAACGTACCGGCAAACAGCTAATTGTACCCACTTGTAGTCGATTGCTTTTGATCTATGCATAATACTTGTTTGTTTTATCAATTACTGATAAGTTGATACTTGGAAAATTATTGTTTCCTATATTTTCGAAATTTCAAAATCATATCTGACTAATCGAAAAAAAACTTATAATTACTTATTGAATTATATTATATTTATGCTAAACTGATTCCTATTAAATCCTAAACTATTTCACGAAATTCATACTAAAAATTATAATTAAACGAATTAATTAATAAACTGAGAAGTACCAGAATGAGATTTTTTATTTCAAAAATACAAATTTCCAATTATTAATGATTAATTTATAACTTTAGGATTTAATAAGGATTTTCCAATTCCCACCATAAACTTGTTATTAATTTAATTATGATTATCTAAATTACATGTTTATTAACTCAGATTATATTTATCTAGGCAAAAAAAAGAGAGGAACGATTAATTAATTATTTATAGATTATTGTTTACGCTGAAATTTCGCAGGTCATAGGTTTTGCAATTTCTTTTTTTAATTAACATTTTTATTATATTGTAGAATTAGCAAAAAAAAAATTAACAAAAGTTACATCGATCATAGATTCGAAATTATAACAATATTAATACTATAATATATATGGTTAACAAATGTTGTTGAAAAAAAATTGAAAACAATAAAATTTATGTTGATAGAAAAACACACCTGATTGAATTTCTTTGTGAGTAATTTACAAATTGAATTAACATAATTCATCAATATTAATTTTTGACGTGAAGCTTAGAGAATGCACGTCGTTTGATACATGAAAAGTCAATCATGACATGTATGTTAATCGCGATGTGTGAACGCACCAAAATGTAAATTATATCACAATACAAAGAAAATAACATACACCTTCGTCGTTTTGTTAATATTTGTAAACATATAAATATTAATTTCAGTGTTCGCGCTGTGCCAATCGGACTGTCCAAACGGTTTCATACAAGTGCACAACTGTAAGCGATGTTACCACTTCAGCAGCGAAAAGTTGCCTTGGAGGGACGCCTATTTCAAATGCAACAACATGAATAGCTCTTTGGCAGTCTTGAGCAGTAAAGAGCAGAATGCCAAGATGCAGGAGTATTTGCTTGCCAAGCATTTAGGTAATTAAACATTATTTATGCCTTGCTTCATATACATGAATATATTTGTTTCTATTTTGAATATCAAATAACTTTATGCTGATTACTTGCATCACCACCAATTCACATTCATCTTTAATTAAAATACTCATTGACTAAACCAATGAAAATAACTTCTTTGTCATGGTTATTAAAAAAAGACAATAAGATTCCACCAAAAAAAAAAACGCAATTTTGTATACAATTTGGTCAAAACTATAGTTCCTTCTGAATGGTGGCTTGGAGGTAACTACGATTGGGAGCAGGACACGTGGAAATGGGCAGCTTCGGGGCGAGTAATAAAGAATTCGCAGATACGAAAAAAACGCGGGAAACATTTGAATTGGCACTGCATAATCCTGGATCCATCTCGACGTTATAGGTAAGTCATATAGGACAAAAAATATAATTCAATAGCAGCAGTGAAATAAATAAATAATAAACTGAAATCTGCTTAATGCAGAACAGTAAACATTATGTGCAATTCAGATTATTGGTTTCAATTAAGAGATAAAGGCAAGCCGAGGCCAAGTTATATTTGTTATGCATGTGCTTCAATTAAAATGATTTGGTTTTACCAGATGGGATTCGAAGAAGTGCACCGAAAAATATAATTACATTTGCCAGAAGAAAGTCAACGATTTGAAATGCAACAACGATATGCCCGAGATTATATCGATGGACGCGAATTCGATCGAGAACTCGATTCATATTAAACAGCGGCAAAACCAGGCCGCGTACAAACGTAACGTTGTGAACAAAAAAAATGTTGATGTTTGTTTGAATTAAGTGATTTTTTTGTAGCGATCCACGTGATTCGTGATCCTTCGAAACCTAAGGCGATATGTCCGAAACATTACAAGCACATCAAAGGAAAGTGCTACAAATTCAGTAGAGAAGCTCTGACGTGGCAGGACGCTTACTATACGTGCGATTCCGAGTACAACGCGACTTTGGCTTTGATTCCAGGCAAGAATCAAGATTTGGCTATAAGGAGAGCATCGCTGAGGTTGCATATAGGTGATGAGGAACGGTGGATCGGGGGTATTTACGATTGGGAACAAATGGCTTGGAAATGGGCTGTTAACGGTGGGATTATCCAGCATCAAGCGCACGATCGGGAAAGGCTACGATGGAACTGTCTAGTTTGGAATCCGAAGATACACAACAAGTAATCAATTCGTAATTAATTTCAATTTCACTTATTTTTTTTCTTTCTACTTAGATGGAGCTCGGACAACTGCTTGGCCAGGAAAGTGTTCATTTGCGAAACAAAACCCACGTACATCAAATTATCGAAACACAATTCGAATCAAATCAAACCTGCGTACACAGTCACAATGAACATAACTTATCATCCGCCTGCAAATTCGATTCGTAATTAGTATTATTCCATTTTAGTTTATTTTTAATTATCGAATTAATATTTATTACTTTTAATGTATTATTATATTTTAATTAATTCAATGTAAATCTTTTCCGTACGTTTTTGTTAACGTAATACAGTTATTTTTGTACCTTAAAAGTGTTAATTAATTAATTAATATTTACGCGCAATCATCGTTCATTCTTAATTTATACTTGCTCCCAAAAATGGTAATCAAAATACCATTTATTCAATGACTAGAATAATGTATGTTTATGTAACTGTAACTGTTTTTTTGTAAATAAATGTGTTAAAGCATAGTTTAAATAATTAATTAATTATCAATCTAAAATATTGAAATTCTGAGCGTTTTTCGTTAGACGGTTTTAGTGAGCTATATCTCACGATATATACGTTGCATCTTGTCATTCTATACTGCGAATTAAAGGCGACTTATAGATTTAAAAAAAAGTTCTTTAACAATTTTGTGTGAATCCAGTTGTGTGTTAGAGCGTTCCAAATTGAAGGTAGAAAAAGAGAAAATTCGATACATTCTTCAGAACCACTACAACCTAGGGAAAAAGCAGAGCAGCGAAAACAAATTGTGTTGTTTATGGACACAATACAGTATAAAATGCAACAGCAAAGTGTTAATTCCAACGCTTCTGTTCTGGTAATATGGATGTCGAAGATAAGACACGCTCTGGTAAGCCAATGTTGATAAAATTATGGAAATCGTTGAAGAGAGCACTTATTCCATTGCCCAGGAACTGAAGATTAGCCAGAAAACCTTTTGAAACCATTTTTACTTTGCCCAATATTCTGTTATAAATCTATTTATATAAAAATTAAATAATAAATTAAATTGTTAACAATTTACCAATTTCTATAATAATTGAATGTGCTACAATAAAATAAAACAACTAATAATAATAATTCATTGACCAAGACACAAAACAATTTAGTATTTCTATCCAAAAAGATTAAATTTAATATTACGAAGAATAAACAATTAGTTTTCGCAGATGAGAAAATAAACAATATTCCTTATAAGATTACCTAGTGTACCTACTTTCCCAGTTCCTTATAAAAATCTTACCACTCCTTAAAAAAAATCCAGCAAGCAACTTCCCATATTTAAAATTTCTATTTTAAGACATCACACTAACCCGATAATTCCCAAGTACTTCTATTAAATATACATATTTTTGAAATAAATTATGTTATTTTCCTGTTATCCACGTACTCATTGTGTTGTTGACAATTTTTTTTTTGTAAATTCTGCACATTTTGTATTTTTTTTTGTTGATTTATGGATATTTAATTATTATATTCTGACTCTACAAATTTCGCTGCAAGTCGCTCATGTATAATGTCGTAAATGCGTCTTGATAATCGTTCAGTGTGCAGATAAAATCGTAGAAATAGAAAATGATGACATTATGAAATTCACATGATATTATGATTATATTTATTATTAGATAAGTTGCATGTCCTACAGGATTGTGTAAGACGTCATTGATAATGTTAGCGTTAGCATCGAAAGTGAATGACAATAAATAATACACGGAGATTCACAAGTAGTTTCACAAGAAGTCGGATTTCAAGAACGCAACTTGCAACATTTTCGAAAGTCTTACGTTATAAAACACATGTTTTAAGTTAATAATTAATAATTCTTATAAGTGTGTTATAAATTTTATATATTAAATATTTGCTAATACTTATAGTCTATTTCAATAACTAATTGGAATATTTTACCCAATTAGTTTTTTTTTATGTAACGTTTTATACAGTTTTCAGCCATCTGCTTGATAAAACGGACACTGATGATAAAATAAAGATCAGCGCAATCTATTTGTAAGTTGACGTAACGCTTCAGTAAAGAGATAACGTTATAGAAATATTCCATAGATGTCGCTCTGCATCGATGAGTTTTGAACGCGAGTGCAGGGGTTGAAATGAGAGTCGAATGGATTTAGGGGGATGAATGGAGGGTGCTCGAGATTCAATATGCTTTGTGCACACTCGATTGATATCAGATTAGGGAAGCAAATACGTACCAAAATAGCTCTCGACATATAACCTTACACCTCCGCGGATGCACACGTAAATAAATGAATTTCCGATACCCTCGCTGCGAACTAATAACAAAATTGTCATAACAGTTACATTTCTCTTATGACATTATTAACGATATAGTCGTGCGTATTAGATTATTATTATTAATATTATTAAAGTTTCTTTGTTTGGATGCGATATGAAATGCGAAGGAAAGATTGGGTTTTCTTCAACTATAAATAGTTATAATTGCTTATTGTAGAATCCGATTGGAGCGAGTGTGTTGTATATGAGAGATCTTGGATGCGGTCGGTGCGACGGAGAGGGAAAGAAATTTAGAAACGCGCGCGCGTTTTTATAATTGGATTCTATTTAAAAGGCCCGTTTGTTAGTAGCGTTGAGAAGAAATAATAAAAAGGATGAAGTTAACAAGGTTATAAATACTTGCAAGATATATCGTCTTCTAAATAAAGATTTTACTTTAACAATGAGACAAGATTCGCGCACATTTGTCCTTTATCGGAGAGCAGATCGCGCGAAAGATCTTAAGAGACCTTCTTATTGCATATATATATATATATATACAAACACATGCATCGGACAAACAATATATGCGCATAGTAGTAGTACGGTGAGGATACTTGACTACTTAATTTATGTTCCTGTTTACTTGCACTTGATTGGCATCTAATTGAATATTTAAATATATTAAAACGAACTGAAAATAATCATATTCTAACGAGATGCTAATTAATAAGATTGTGTGCATCACACAAGAGATTGCCTGTCGCACTTTTACTTCACTTCGAGAAGATGTCCTTATTAGATGCAGATAACTGTCTTGAAGATTCCATTGGCATTTGGTCTTTTCTATTACGATTCGCGGTGTGTTAACGAGTAAACTTTCAATGAAAAATATTATTTTATATGTATATTTCAAGCGAGAAAGTGTTTAATTTTGGTATTTTATATCAAATAGAAGACTTTCGGTAAAGTAAATTGAATCGAAATCTTCATAAACGGTGAACAAAAATGAAATAACAGAAGCATAAATACAGCAATACCTTGCATAGTCCGGATAATCGGTTCTGCCAAAACACCGGACTGTTTGATGCGTAATCAAAAAAACAGAAATATATATTAATTAATAAATTTAGTAATTAGTATACCCATTTTTTTAGAATTTAGTTTGTATCCAGAATGATTGAATAGTTCAACGCTACACTACTATGTAACTACTATGTATTTAGAAGTCTTTAAATTACGCACTAAAGGATTGTGTACATTTAGTAAGCAAACATACAAATATTTAAAGAAGGCAGAAGACGTTTATAATGAAATAGATGCAGATACTCAAGAAACTGGTAAATTTAAGTAATTAACATGAAAATAGTTATATTATCTATATTTTTGTTTTGTAAATCAAATTTTTAATAAATTGTAATTGCTCTGAAACTCATATGACACAACACTGGATTTTCTACGAACCTATAAACCATTTGATAGCATATATTATAATTGATTTAAAACACTCTAAAACTTTCTTATTATAGTGATTATTTAAGTATATAATTAAGACCTCGAAAATTTTAACTATTTTCTTCATATAATACCAAAAAACCAGTATGGATGTATGGTATCCAATTGTGGAGTGCGGCCAGTAAATCGAACTTACAAATTATACAAAGGTTCCAATCAAAATGCCTAATAAATATTATTAGGGCTCCATGGTTCATCAGGAATAAACAAATACACGAAGATCTTCAAATAGATATGGTCATTTAGTAGAAGATACCAAAATAGACTGGAGTCACATACTAATGTTCTGGCTATTGGCCTACTCGACAACTGTGAAACCATAAACAGGCTGAAGCGTTGGCAAATATTGGTTACTATGTAATTGTTTAAATTTAAATAGTTTGTAATTCTATATTAAATCTTTACAACATAAATGATTTTAATGTATAGAATAAAATGTCTTATTTACAAATAATTGTATTTTTTCAAAAAATGTTTGTAAAATAATTTACGCACATTTCAACAAATTCGAATTGAAACGCAGCAATCTTCACACGCTTATAAAAATGTGTCTAACGTTTGAGATACGCAGGTGCAGCTTCGTGATGATTCGCGATGTTTCGCGTTTCCGAACGATTATTTAAACAATTTCCTAATTTGTATTAATTTCGAATCGAAGCGCAGCATTCTTTATGCGAATATAAAAATGTGTTTAACGTTTGAGATACGCAGTTGCAGCTGATTCTTCGTGACGATTCGCGACGTTTCGTATTTCCGAACGATTGTTTAAACAATTGCCTAATTTTTGTTACTTTCTTATCTATCAATAATGCAGGTGTTCTCACTGCACTCTTTTCATGCCCAAATATGGATTTGTTTATACGTACGCACCTGCAGCTGTGATGATTCATCGAGACGCAGGTGTGTGCGAAGTTTTATTGTCAAATTTCTATGAAACGCGCAAATATAGAATTTTAATAATCCGTAAATACAAGAAATTATTTATAAATACTAAACAATTAAAATGTTCACTATTTTCTTAAAGTTTACTATTTCATTTTCCTTATAAAGTGTTATATTTTAAAGTATTCTACACGATGTACAAGTGAAAGTAGTTTGTTTCAACGTACAAGTACTTACATAAGTTACTTGGCAAATATCGCTTATCGATATTAATCAATTTATATTACTTTCTTATCGAATGTGCGAAACAATGCACTATCAATTCGTGGCTCAATTCTTTAGATGTGGCGCAGCAGCGTTTCGCAAATGTTTTATGACATTTCAAATTTATTAAATATTAAAAAAAGCATAAAAAGTTCAAAACTCTTGTATAATGTGTAAATGTTTGGTCACTTTTTATTGAAATAATTAAAATATTTTACTATTTTATATATATAAATATATATATATATACCGTATTAGCTCGAATATAACGCGATATTTTTCGACCATTTATTTTCCGTTAAAAAATAGACTCGCGCTAAATTCGGGGTTTAAGTAATGGAATGTAATATTCTTTTGTGCGTATTATTTTTTTTCTAAATATCTTTATAAACATTTCAGGATCGCGTTATATTCGGGCTAATACGGTATATATATATATATCTTTCTCATTCTATAATATTT